TGTAATATTAGTTATTAGTAGTGTAATATATATATATATATATCAACCAACATAAACATGTTGGTTTCGTCTTCAGACTGTACTATGTTTTTACTGCAAATGGCGGTTATTTTAAAAACATTATTTTAGAATTTTTCATTTAACCGCCCCATCTGTGGAGGTTATTCATTTGTTTCAAAACTTGGTGAGAAAATACCAAGGTTCCAAAGCAATTCTGTAAACCATATAATTCTATTTTAATGCTTTCGTCTTTGATTGATTTTTTATACTGTCGGTCTATTTGAAGGAGCTCTAAGAGATGTATAAAACAGGAAGTAATTTTTTAATCAAATTTTAAATAATAGTTTTCTTTTATTCGAGAAAATTACATTAATTTCAAGATGCTGAATAGACGAGTGGTAGAAAAAAGAATTAATCGATTTGATTCTTACGAAAACAAATTGGAATGAGCATTTCAGTTTAAAAAAAGCTACAGCAAAATAAGTTCACCGAAGAAAACAACAACAGCAACAGCGGAAATTCGAGACTAAATTACTTTTCAAATGAATCAATATATGTGCCTTTTTTTAAAAAAACGAAAACAAATCAACATTTTAGAGGTTTTTCTTCATTTATCAAGTAAATGAATAAGTATAAGAAACTGTTTTCAGATTCTCGTAAGAGCGTGAAATGAAATTGTTTCGAATTTAACGGTAATAGTTCCCACGATAGCTTAAAATAAATTTTAAATAAATTGAACTTCCATTTTATGTGATAAAGCGGGTTTTATTGCTTCCGAGAAAATTTTTATTCTGTTCGTTAAAAACAATTGAAAAATGATTGTTTTGCTTTTTTTTTAATTCATTGGGACTCGATTGTTCAGTTAACGTTGTGAGGAAACCTAAAACTCTGTCATTAAAATTTAAAAGATACTGGAACTTTAAAAAATTGCTGCAATGGTGATTTCTTATTTTTTGTAATATTGCATTCTTTATTTTACATGAATATGAATGAATGAATGAATATGAATTTGTTACTCCTTTTAAACGAAGGATCCGTCCCCTCAATACTTTAAATATATAAATGTTTACCCATATACAATTAAATATGGTGAGATGGTAATTGCGTAGTTGTGGCTTTTTGGTTAAATTAAAATATTGAAATATGATCCTCCGTTATCTTTGAAAAAACCAGTCTTTTGGCAGTTAATAGAACGTCAAGTTGGGGGTGAACGCAACGATGTGTTCAGCTTAAATTAGTGTTATGGATTCATAGATTTCACCAATTTGAAGCCACGTTCAAGAAATAAAGGCAGGACATGCCTAATTTTTATTTCCTATTACCAACTGAACTTTAAAGTTTATTTTCTCAAATTCCTAAAAATGTCACTCAGAATATTCTTTCCTCACAGCTCTTTAATAAAATATAGTCTGCTTTAATCGAGATAGCTCATCCATTGAAACCATCCTCGTTGCAGTAGCCTTGGCTCCTTAGGAATTAGCCAAATTATAGTTAACCAAATTGTTGTTATAAAATCCACGTGGCACAGCAAGTTGTTTTCTCATTTTAGTGTGATAAGTGAACCATCTTATTCGTGTATCGATTACGGTCTCATAGATTGGTGTCTTGAAATTTAGTAATTTACCATGTTCTTTTTCTCCTGTAAGAATTTCACTTCAAAAAATATTCAGGACAGTTCCCATCAAGATGTATAAGATCTCGTCAACTATATCCCATACAAATTCTTTAACTAAACACATTCATCAATTGCTTTGAAAATTCTGCAATTTTTTTTACTTAAACTTAACATTTATGGCAAAAATCAAGGTGTAGCTTTTACGCGTTCCCCTAAGGCTTTCTAGAATGCCAGCTAAAAAATTCGCTGTTTTTCATGAGTCACAGTTATTCCGTCATCAACAACTCCTAAAAATAAAAATAAAAAGATTCTTCCTCAAAAAATACTTGATTTCAATTGCAATGAATCTCGAATTTCCCCAGACATGAGGATGAATCCTTCACCTGGGAGGTCATCAGAGAGTGAAAGTCGCAATCACATGTCCTTGATCCAGGAAAGCATCGCTCAAATGACGTGATGCGATCATTATACAGTCACGCAATTGTTGACGGAATAGGAGTTGGTGCTTATTTTATTCGATGAATCACCATTCGTATGTCGGGGAACTGGGGTTGCGATTTCAACTAGTTTTTTAAGTATATAAGATACAGTTACTCGTTTAGCAATCTACTTAACACAATCTTTCTCTTGTTTATTCCCAATATTTGAAGTTTGTTGAGTTGATAAAAAAAACAACATAATCTTGGCATATAACTCTGAATACAGTTTCGAATATAGATTTTTATTTAGTATATGGGTAAAGATGATTCTGTTTCCCTTCATATGCTCAGAAACATATTAATAAATTACTATCTAATTCTAAATATATTTACTATTTAATTCGAAATATATTTAATTCTGTTAATTTCGATTCACAATTTGCAGTTGCCATAGTTATTAAAGTCGTTTCCATCAATAAGATGAGAGAATATTAGAACAGAAATAAAATAGATTAGGAAGCGTTAATTTATTTGAAGTATTGCGCTTAAAGGGCATCGTCTGACTGAAAGTTATTGCGGTCTCTGTAGAATCCTAAATGGAGATAAGTTCATTTGGAGAGTGGTCTATGAAAATCTTGTTTAAGAACTGTCGACTAAAAACATCAATAGTTAGTTCATAGAAGATGAAATTAGGATGTTGTCTGACTAGCGACATACCATATTATGTCAATAAACTAATTCAATTTTTTTCTTATCTAAAGGCTGAATTTATTTATGAGAAACTAATGATTGTTAACTAGTTAGATATGTTAAATATTTATTGGCAATTTGACTACTCAATGAAATCCGAGTCAACATGTTGTTTTCGAGTGCAATTGGATTAGTTTAAAAATTTTATATTATAAAAATGTTAAGCTATTCAAAATTTTTATTGTTTGAATAATAAAAATTTTGTTGTCCTTTAACCTGTCTTTCTCAAATGGCTATTATTAAATTTAATTTTTATAGTTGAATGGTTGAAAATTTTCATAGTTGAATGGTTTTGAATTATTGATGTTACAAAGGGGAATTTCACCTTAAGCTCAAGACAGTCGAAACTGTTTAAAATTTATTAGAATCCCAAGTTATTTTTTTCTAACATTTTAATGTTGGAATGTTTTGAATAGCTGAAGGTTGCAAATCTGAATTTTGATTTAAGCTCTTACAGTCAAGTTTACTTTAAAATTTTATTTACTTAAAATTTATTAGAGTCTTAAGTTTCCTTTTACTAAAGTTTTTATTGTTTAACAGTTATGCATTAATGAAAATTGAGAAGGGGAATTTCGTCTTAAGCTCTCACAAAAGAGACTACATACACATTTTCTATTTTCAAAACAAGAGAATATTTGTATCTGTGTTAAATGCAAAACTATTTACAAATGCAAATTTAAGGCTTTATTAGTCTGGAAAAGGTAATCTTGACTTTTGAAAACGTGGCTTTAGAATTTCCTTTTTCCTCCCTTAACTTAACCTTTGAAATTTATTATTTTTCTTATGCTTTTACGGCTTGTAAGGTGTCCCGCCTTTTTCTTTCAAAGGATTCTTTAGCACATTTTACAAAACACCCTTGCATCGGCATGCGGTCAAATTGCCACCTGAGCGAATGTTTTGAATAGTCTATGCAATTAAATAGTAAAGTTTTGCTCTCTAAATAGTTTTTTCTCCCTTCCAAGTTACGTTTGAGGTCGTTGAGGTGGAATTGGCAAAATATTTATGTTTTTCTAAGGGATTTTTGACCTTTCTAACATCGGAAATACTTAATCTTTATCAATTCAAAAAGGAAACTAATGTCTCTGCTAAAGTCATGAAAAGAATAATTCTATTTTTGTCTTCCACCTAAAAAAGTACTGTTCACCTATTAGCTTCACTGATTGATCAGTAATATATATTGATATATATATTTAAAATTATTTTAGTAGGATAAAATGTGTACCGAAATTCTTTTCTATTTTCGCTAACTATTATTTCAGTTCAAAAATTTTGGTATCGAAGTAATCTGAATTAATGGATGAGTATAATTTCACTCGTTATTTTAATTTTTTTTTAACCTTTTAATGATGATATATTATTAATTTTTCTTCTTATTCAGGTAAATAGTTATTACATTTCATTTTACATCATTATAGTCACTGTCGTTGAACATCCTCGAGCCACATCAGATCTGAAGCTTTGCAATTTTGAACTAAACTCAAGAGAAAAAGAAAATTCTAGATCTATTGGGATTCTAGATCTATCCAGAAAACTTAAATTTGTTTCCTATCATGCAAATTCTTATCATGCAATATTTTTCAATAAACTTCCACAGTGATAGCCTGATTTAAAGTTGATATTAACCCATGATCCCTCTAACACTGGGAGTATTTTATGACAGCACTGTGGTTAGTATGAGCCTAGAACAGCATTAAACACAACCAGCCATCACCGGAATCCAAGAGTCGTCTAATCGAGAGACGTCCCTTGAGCAATTCCTATTTCTGATACGTATTTTTGGCGATGTTTTGTCCGCGTTAAGGATGCCAGACATGGCAGTTATCTTTTCGAGCTTTTTTCCACGATTGGCAAACTGCATTACATATCATAGAGTACACTATCAGCAGTATAAAATGATCCGAAGAGCAGTTTAAGTTATCGAAAAATTTGTATCAAAATTCCTCACGATAAAAATAAATAGAACAAAGTGTTTAATAATTTCTATATAATCTATTACACTTATTGATTAAAGTGAACTCACTCCATTAAACTTATTAATCGTCTAACATGGTTGTACGTTATTTATTTATGAGATTGCGTGATAGTTTATTAAATTAAAACAAAAGTTGGCACATTTAGTTTCTTTCATTTAATGAATTTCCAAAATTAACTTCAGCAAGTAAGTTTACCATGACCGAACAAGGTTTTATTTAAATCATAATAATCAGTTACTTCTGCTCAAAACAAACCGAAATTTTTTTCTTTTTTTAATACTTGTATTTAAGGATCGTAACCTGAATTAACGTCATGTGTTAATGCATTCACCCAGCGTTCTCCTACTGGCTTACTGAATCTTGAAGAATAGTTGAAATTCGGTGTTGGATTGTTCGATACTGTTACTCCGTGAATGTTTCGTTTGTTTTCAGACCAATAAGTTATAGTCGGATCAAGATACAATGAATATTCAAAAGTAGGTCTGAGGCCAGCATCAGGATCAAATCCAGGTACATCAAAATGCTCGTGGGTGGTGGAAAGGTAATTGGGTGGAGATGCTGGACGGAACTCCTGCTGAGCTATATCTCGACTGATCTTTTCGAACAGATATCGTTCCATTAGTTGGCGTTTCTTTCCAACTTCTGGAGGTGGAAGCTTGGGTGGTGCCTAAGAAGGAAAGAGTTATTGATATTATTTCATGTAATTCACTGCTAAAAAGTAAAATTGATGAATAAATCAATCAGATGAATGAAAATTAACCCATGCTATCAAAGTTTGTCCAAATTTTATCAAAATATTTTTTTATCTGAAAAAAAAAAGCAGAAGCAAAGCATATGACACCACATAGCCCTTAAATGGTGTCTTTACAGTTTTATTGCTGATTATTTTTCAAATTATCAGTAGTACCAACTCTAAAAATGATGATAAGGTATACCTTGTGCTGTATATTTGAATAACACGAAACAGTTTTGAGTACAATCATTTTTGCTCTTTTTGTACCTTTATTTGTACTTTATTTAACTTATTTTTATTTATTCAATACCAACTATATTGGAAGATATTGATGAAACGAAAATACTTTTTATACATGAAAATAAATACAAATTCTGAACTCATTTGAACTCATAGAGTAAAAACACACGGCAAGCAATATTTCAGTTACATGCAAAGTAATTTCCGATAAGTAAATAGATACAAGTCAAGCATTTAATTTCTTATGCGTAAAACCTTTATGAAAGAAGGAAACCTTCTAAGTTATTTGACATATCGTCTCTAGTTAGATTCGATTAAATGTAAAAAAAAAAAGAAAATACATCGAAGACATCTTATTTGTCTAGATAGCATTATTTAAAGTTGTCCATTTCTACTTGGTCAGCTATAGATACACTTTAGTTTCTTTAGTTTAAAATCGAAGGATTAACCAAACGTTAGGTAATGAGTGTTTAGAAACTATTTAGATAATGAGAGGTCAGAAAACCTTGCTATTTTATGCTGATCAAAGTTGATGTATAATTGGCTGATTCATTGACAACATATTCGCCATTAAAGCATTAAATCGCCAAGCTTCGTCTCGTACCCAGCAAATGGATAAGTACTCAAGATAATAAGTTGAACCATCCACTCATGATGAAACACAGTAGGCTGTACGAAAGCAAAACTTGCAATTGGTGAGATGATACATGCTCGTTTAGAGACTATCACATTCTATAGGGTGATTCCATGGACTGATTTCCTTCTAAATTCAAAGGAATTTTTACATTATTGTATTTTGAAGTTATATTCATAAATGAGCTTATTTTAAATTTGTCACGTATCCCGAATTTATTGAAATCACGAATTTTGAACTCTTTTATGCAATTCATTTGCAAGAATTCCATTCCGCTTTGCAAAAGAAAAACAATGTAAACTGCATCACGGTAAATTTCGAGAAAAATGACTTGACAACTATTTTCTTTCTATTGCTAATGCTATGAACACTGAAATAGAATTTCTAGAACCTGATAAAACAAAATTTACTTTTGAAATCTCACTCTTTGAAAAAAAGTCTTTTGCAATAAGTAGCTTATCATATAAAAATGCCAAATATATAAAAATTTCACTTTTGAATAGTTCGTCGCTTGCGTTGATTTTTCTTTTGCACGACAGTATTATAAATCCATGTCTTTTTCCGATAAATTTTTCGGTAGTTATTTATCATTTTTTCAGCCATGGTTTTGTAAGTTTAAAATTTCGTATTTGAGTAATCATTTTATTTTGTGATTCCTAATATACTAATACCATTGTTAATATATGTCGTTTTCGTGCCAGTCATCGATCCTTTTGTTCAGCCGTCTACTTGTTTTTTAAATTCCGATATTTTAATAAAGTTATCGTGCTCGAATCGCGACGATTCTATATTATATCTCCGCCGTTTTCCGATATTTTTTTTCGGCCCTTCGGTTCTCCGAATTCTGATATTTTAAATTTGATATTAGGACACCTGAATTTCGAGTTAGAGTAATCACTTTCGGACGCGCTTTATTCACGACTATTTCATTGTTTATCAGCATTTTTTCGAGCATTTTATTGATACCTATTAATCATTTGTTTGGATCATTTCCGCATGGTTTTTGAATTCTGATAACTGTAATACAATGTTTTGCTAGAAGCCATTTCCGAATTTGAGGCATGAATTTCAACACACTCGGTTCGTCTGTCACGAATGCGTTGTAAATTAACGTCAATTTCTAATCGTTTATTTTTTTTTGGCCGTTATTTATTGCTTTTTTAAACTTCAATAGTCTCATGATTAGTTTTCATGCGAAACACCCGTTTGTCAACAGCATTTTTTTTCTTAGATAGTCACCTTTTTACAAGATAAGTGCTATTTATCTTAGAATAGTTGCTTTTTAGCTCTTTTTTGTCTGAAATAGTAGCCATAGTTGCTTCCTTCTGATTTTAGCAAATAGTACATTTTAGCACTGAGACCTGCATTTCAAATCAACAGGCACCAAAATGCTTTAAAGAGTATCGCAATAACTATATTTTTTTTTGAACTTTGAGTTACACATCTGCGCTTGCTAGCAAGTGTGCTTGTATTGTAAGAAAAAGTTTTGTGGGCAAGATACCAAAGCAGTGTTACAAACTTAATTTTATTCTGTTAAAAAACCATTTTAAGCGTTGAAACTTTTCTTATATATGAAATTTGTTTATTTTATCGGAAGTTGTGATAATTTCATACTACATACGTCTATATGTGAAAACTTTCCATTTGTCTAAATTCTCTGGTGATCGAAAAGGTACTTTATCAGAAATAATTTCATACTACATACGTCTATATGTGAAAACTTTCCATTTGTCTAAGTTCTCTGGTGATCGAAAAGGTACTTTATCAGAAATAATTTCATACTACATACGTCTATATGCGAAAACTTTCCATTTGTTGAAGTTCTCTGGTGATCGAAAAGGTACTTTATCGGAAATAATTTCATACTACATGCGTCTATATGTGAAAACTTTCCATTTGTCAAAGTTTCCTGATGATCGAGAATGCACTTAATTAAAAAAGCTAAATGAAAAACAAAAAAATAGAAACTAGAAACATCTTAATTAGTGAAGCTGCGTTATTAAGGAAACTAAATTAAGAGGAAACTTATTACGTTGCCAAAATATTAATGTTGCTGTTAAATCCGCCAAAGAAATATTGTAAAGGAAGTGCCACAATAAATTTTATGATGTATTTTATAGAAATTTTTAGGAAAATCATATTCATTAAGAATTTTATAAGTTTACGATTCTTGTATCAAGTATGCATTACTAAACCAGCATGTTCATCTAAATATACGTTTTAATAATTCATAAACCAGCTTCAAACAGTTAATAAACTAGCATTTATATAAGGTTAATACAATTGTGCCGTTATTTTTGATAGCCGAATATGTCCTTTTTAAACAAAAAAGTCGCTTATTTATTTTTTCGGTGACCTTAATAATAAATGTTGCAGTTTCATTTTCATGCAATTATAGTGCTAAGAACTTCACCCAACTTAATTAAACTTAGGCAATACATTTAAATTAATTTAAACTCTTACTCTTAAAAATCTCCGACTTATGCCACTTTCCATATTGACTAACTCCACTTTCAAAAATATCGGTGCAGTTAATAGAAATATTTATAACGCAATTACATTCCTTCAACAAAACAAACATATAATTTATGAAATTTTAAAACTTTTACCTTAAAATCAGCACGATGAGTTGTTATCAAAATTTCTTTATTGAAACAATCCTTCTTGCTTGAAATCGGTGGCCCTAATAAATCTTTTTGGCCTCGTCGTAATTGATATGCCACATTATCTGAAGATAATTTATAAGTCATGTTTTGTTTGGTTAAAATTCTTTTGCATTCACAATATTAATCTTACTGAAACTTCATTCTTTTATGCTAATAAATTTTGTGACGAAACTTAAGCCAGAAAAATCAAGGAATAATGATATAAAATTAAGTATCTAGTATTCCTGCTGGAGATCAGTATAAATAAAACTTGGTCGTCATGGTTACCGTCATTGATTCTTCAAGAAATTCGAAGCTATGCAATCGATAAGGATTTTTTTTTTTTTATCGCTATCGGTTAAGAAGATGTCTCTCAAAAAAATTTTTCCTTCTGAATAATGATTTGTTTGAAAGAAAATGGCATTCTAGCATACAACGTGATAAATCATTTAGGAAAATATGCTTCAATTTTTTAATTGTATTTTTAAAATACTTTTGTGAAAATATAAATTTAAATTCTTTAACCTTTGCAATTTGAAGTAATATATTACTATTTATTGGTATAAGGTATATAACAAGGATTTTTTTTTCATCCGAAATTCACAATTTTAAGAATGTAAAACGTTGTCTTTGTGGCCGTACAATTACCAAAAACTTTTTTTTAGAAAATTTGAAAAATATTTAGGTTTTCCGAAAGGGATCTAAAGTTTTATTTCCTGTAAGCATAAATATGAAACAAATTTTAGTTTTCTGGTTCAAAAATGTAAAATAACAGCGAAAAAAAAGATAATTTTTTATGTTTTACGGTATTTATAGCAAAACTAATTTTCAAAACAAATACACATGGTTTCTAATTGCACTCCACTCTTCATGTTAAATTATTTAAAGGGTGGGTGTAATTAAAAATGCCATGTATAGATTCAAATGCACTGTAAAAAAGGATTTTTCAAAATATAGCAAAAATGTGTCAAAATAGCTCTGAAACAAATATAGTCGAATTTGAAAACCTATGTACTCATGAGTGACATGCTCAAAATTGAAACACCATATACTCATTTTTGAGTAAAATGGATCGTTAAAAAACTGTACATCATCAAATGCGACAAAGTTAAACCTTTATTAGTTTATAGCGATCAAATATTAGAAGAGAAAATTTAATTAGATAAAAGTTTAGTGCACTTGCCTTCATTTCAAATTTATTTCACGAATAAAGAATGTCTTCAGATTTGTAACTTTGCTACCCTGACGCCATCTTTAGTTTCAAATTACTACATCCATTTTAAATTTATTTCATATTTTTAAACCTAAGCATTTGTATTTTAATATTATCAAAAGATCGGTTGCAGGCATGAATTTCCATTAATATTAAAAGCTTGTCCCGCCGCGAAAATTTAATTCTTAATACATTGTCCCTTAAATCGATAATGTTTTATCTTTATATCCCTGTATACAGATAAGTATTAGCAATTTAAACAGCCAAGGAAATCGCAAACTAATCAGTGCACAATTTATACATTAGTGGTTCTTAAACTTCAATTTGACTGCTTATGGGGCTCGTATAGCCATTACCAAGGACTTGCTATACAGTTTTGACACTAACCTTTAGTACCCAATCTATTCGCTTTATTTTTTAATAGATCTTTAATAAATATCCTGTATGGACAAGATTTTCGGTATACATTGTTACTTAACTAGTTTCTAACGCAATAATTTTTTTCAAATTTTTTTTACCTGCAAATACAAAATAATAGAATTAATGTAATTAAACAATAATTCATTCAAATTTTTTTCCAACTGCATGTACAAAATAATAAAATCAACGTAATTAAAATTAAATAATCACAATTTTTGTTCAATTGCAAGTATAAAATAATAAAATTAACGTAAATAAACAATAATTCATTTATATTTTTTTCAACTGAAAGTGCAAAATAATAAGCTGCGGGTTCGAGCATAGGCTGCGAGTTCGAATCCCGCTCTGGGCATGGATGTTTCTCTCTCTCTTTGTGCTGTCCTCTGTTGTGTGTGTGTATGATGTGTGAATGTGGCCCACCCTATAAACGGGTTTGTGGCAGTATGGCGTGGGCAATGTTGCTCTCCTCCGTGACTTTGGTTCACAGGTGCCCACTGGGTAACGCGAAATGAGCAACAATTCTGGCATAGTATAGGCAAAGATTAAAATTCAGTGCCTGCCAATGGAGAAAAAAAAAGGTTGAAAATTGGTAAAAATTCAATTGACGATAAATTTTTCTGAGGCCAATGAAAAAGCAATTTAAACATGTATTGGCTTCAGGTACATAGCTCCATTTGTAATTGAAGCTCGTTAGCCAAGAAGGAATTAAAATTCAGATTGAAGATAAACTGAAATGACGACTCATTGGGCCGATAATATGCTGATAAATTCCTTATGCCAATAATATGGCAAAAAAGCTGTTCTTGCACTGTATAGGAAATGATTGCGAGGGAGAGAGCTGTGAATCAGGTTTTGGAACTCTAGTTAATCGGAACGAGATAAGAATTTCTATTAATATTAAATTCTTTATGACGGTAAAAGGACAATAAATTACCCTTTAAGAGCAAACGATTGAGAATTCCAAGAACAGAACTCCAAGGGAAATCTGAATGCTCTAGCTCAGTGGTTCCCAACCTTTTGTGAACCATCGCCCCCCTCTTGGGGTTGGCTGACACATATCGCCCCTTTCTCTTTTTGCTAAAAAAACCATTCATTGTTGCTTGTGAGCAACCAAACACTGAAAATATGCTATGTTATTTGATTTTAATTTAAATTGTAATGCAAATAAGGAGGCACATTTACCCTATTATTTTTATTAATTAAAAAAAATTGTACAACTTTTTTTTTCAAAAAGAAGTGATATTTAAAATGGAATAATCAAAACAAAAGTACATTTTTTTAAATTCATATTTTAATGTAATCAAGAAAAAGTTAAAACGTTAACAACTAAAATTTGAGAAAAAAAATGAAGAGGGAGAAAGTACATTTTTACCACTTCAATGACTGCCCTGTGCTTGGTGTATTTCAAGT